CAGGCAGAGTAGACAGTGAGAAAGAGAGAGACAAAGGTCTTCCTTTGCCGTTGGTTCACCCTCCAGTGGCCGCCGTGGCTGGCGTGCTGCGCACGGCACTGATCCCATGGCAGGGGCAAGGACTTCTCCCTGGGCTCCCCATGCGGTACAGGGCCCAAAGGGACCTGGGGCCATTCCTCCAATGTCTCTCCCTGGTCCCCAGAAAAAAAGTTGCCTTGGGAAAAGGGGAAACCAGGAAAAAAAACCGGGGCCCCGGACCCGGGAATCAAAAAAACAGAGGCCCCGGCGCGCCCAACGCCGAAGGGTTAAGCCAAGAGGAGCCAGAGGCCCGGCTGGTCCCAAAAGGGTAATCTTTTAAATTATGTTTAAAGAAAAAATTGTGTCAAAGAAGATGGGGTAGCTAGGGGGACAGAAAGTTCTCAGAATCCATCCATCTGCTGAAGAAGCCACTTTGGAAATCTGGAATCTAATAGAATGCTTTCAGTATCCAGGGGAGAGCTTGATGAAGAGGCTGGTTTATTTTAACTTTTCTCATAGCTGTAGCTACCCTGAGTCTACCCTGAGGGCTGGCTGCCTGGTGAAGAGCAGAGGTCCCGTATTCCCCTCCCCCACTTTTTCCCCATTGGAGGACATCTTGGTTGTTCTCAAGTTTCGGCATTACGAATAAAGCTGGTATAAATATTCATGTACAGAGTTTTTCATGTGGATATAAGCTTTTTAAAAAATTCATTTGGGTAAAAGACCTAGGAGCATAATTGCTGGGTTATAAGGCTATGTTTAGCTTTGTATGAAACTGCCAAAGTGTCTTCCAAAATAGCTGTACCATTTTGTGTTCCCACCAGCACTGAAATGGAGTTCTTTGCCAGCATCTGGTGTTGTCCAAGTTTAGGATTTTTAGCCTAATAGGTGGTGCTGTCATATTATTGGATAAACCAGCAGTTCTCTGAGGACATACGATGCTGAATATCTTTCCATGTACTTATTTGCCATCTGGGTACCTTTGGTGAGGTGTGTGTTTGATCTTCTACCCATTTTTAAAATTGTTTTCTCATTGTTTTTTTAAAAAAAAATTTTATAA